GCTGACATTGACTTTATATTCACAAGATCGTATTTCTTTTCGAAATTACGACCGCAGTCGCGCCCCTTTCGTTCCCTTTTAAATTCCCAAAAATGCGATATGAAAAACACATAAACGGCCAAGACATAGAGGAAGGCAGAATAGTGAACAGAAATGAAACTAATGGCAAAAGAGTCGTTGAAAAACTTCCAGCAGGAGGAAGAGTTGTTAAACACATAACTGCGAGATTGAAGAACCTCGAAGAAATAATCCTAGGCGGGCTTTCAGATAATTTGTGTGCGCAAATTGTTATTGATTGAGTCCCCATCCAAGCCGATGATTAGAATAAATGACAATGGACCAAATCAGTTGAATGAACGTAAATTGTCATAAAGTACTTCGACAATGTAACACGGAGATAATGCGAAAATATTCATGCACGCCAGCCGAATTAATTCCCAAATTATTTCTTCATGGAAATACTACAATATTTACTAGGCTTCGAGCCGCGTAAAATTCCAACTGTTCCCAATAAATTAATTTCCTCAACTACCAATAAAAACTGATTTACCAGACCGCATAATAATCTATTGCAACTGACAAAAAATGGGCAATTAATTCAGCATTGTTACCATATAATTGGTTTCCTATCAAAGCGGTCTATAGATAAACTAATAATAATAATTGGCACACAGTTTAATGAAAACAGTAAGTGAGCTTGTAATGAATCGGCTGCATTGATATGAACGCTTTATGTATGCCATATTTATATTTTCCTTTATCCTCAACCCCCCCAGAAAAAATACAACTGGCGCCTGTATCATTAAATATGAATACGCCCGTCAAAACAGCGGCGGGTCTGGATGTATGCAATGAACCACTCTTGTCCAGTGCATTCAATCTTACTTAAAATTGATTTATTTTCACTTTTGTGTCTGCTGATCGATTTAATCGTGGCAAATATTTCCGAATTGTTTTAACCAGTTTAAACTGATTTAACTACGGATCTCAAGATGTGTTAATCTCAGGCACATTCAAGGCCGTTTTAGAGTCTATTCGGATCGAAACCGGTCCTGCGGATGTCTGAGATTAGCACATTTTGAGCTCAGTACGGAGTTTCCACAGTTAAATTCCACTCCAAACCTGTAAAGATTTACAAAATATTCGATAGAAACTTAAAGACACGAATGAATATAAAATGTCTGCAATTGTTAAATACAACGAGCCTACGCCTCTACCTAGCTACGCCACTGGATGTGATAAAATCCACATAAATCAATAAACTGTTCACTCGATGAAATGATTCGTTATTTTCTCGATTGACTGCATAACGACATTGGTCATAATAAAGTTGACGATATGTTGTAAAGGAATTCAATTATGTATGTAAATAGTATATAATGTATAACTTGATTTTATATTGGCCCGAGTAAAGGATTGTTGCACTGTTGCAATTTTCACTCGACAACATTCAAACACTTCAAGTTGTGAGTTAGACCAGGCGAAATGCAATGGTGATAATGTCCATGCGGGCATTTTCCACTATTCCAGCACACAATAAAGGTATTGAGGAATGCATTTTCATTTTCCGCCGTGACCCATTTTCCGACAATACAAACGTAAAATGGAACAGCCGAGTTGTCAGGATGAAAATGATTTTCCTGTCTAGGCGACGACTTCGCGTAATTGGAAATTTCTCGGCAAATTATTTCCCAGCCATTTTCCAAGGGACCTGCAAGAGGCTCTTGTTGCGCGGTTGTTAGCTATTCAGGTTAGAGATGAAAAAACATAAATTGGAGCAATTTGCGCTGCAATAACGCACCGAAAGGGGCGACATTGAATGAAATTCCTGTCGACCATGTTTTATAGCGAGCAAGAGGAAATGTTGCTATCAGGCCAGACACAGTGTCCGACGCTGCTGCATGAGGAAAATTGGAAAATTTATTTAAAGGTAAACGGGAAACTCGGCGGTCGATCACTGCCAGCGTCGACCAGAGAGAGGGTTTCCACTAGGTTTTCCACGTGGGAAATTGCGTCAATTTCCCCTCAACTGATCAGTCTGCTGAAAAATTAATTCCGTACTAAATGGGGACGAGGATGCACTTATTTAGTCTTCTTCAAATAATAGCCAAGTAACTCTTTCAGCATCTATAAAATTAAGCGACGCGAAACTATTTTGCGTTGGTTGGTTTGAAAAACACGTGCAGTTTCTAGAAGAGCCGCAAACGAAGTTTGAACAAAATCTGCGTTTTTGGTATAAGTTTAAGCGCCAATGAAACAAATTGCGTTCTTCTACCGCAGCAACAAGTAAGTTTCTATCTGGTCGCACTTTCCAGAAAGAATTTACTGCCGATTAGTTTCAAAATATTTGACTCGCAATTTTTTACGTTAATGAAAAAATGCGAATTTTTCAGCAGAAGTTCAGGCATTTTTATAATTGGACACATTTTCAAGAAAAAATGATTGAAAAGCAATCGTTTGAGCGCGGCTTTTAATAATCATCGGTCATTAATAGACTGCCGAGTGATTTTTTAAATCGAATTCTTGAAAACTTGTTTTCGGTGCCATCGTTTGACTAATCACTAAATACATTTTCATTATTTGATAAAATTGTCGAAGGTTTTTTCCTTGATCCCCTGGTGGAAAGTACACAGTTTTCTTACTGTTTTCGATAGCGAAAGAATCACTTTTGCTCATTACCTTTTATCGTTACACCTTTCCTCCCATTATTTCTTGTATATTACCGTTCAAGAGACGAAAGTGGAGGTTTTTCGAAAGAAAAACCATTTTTTCTTGTGACATTTCCATCGAACAATCCACGGCCGGCGCATTAACAGTCTCATAGTAGGCCCAAGCGCTTAAACTGCATGGTAAACCGAGGGCCTATAAGCCAAGTTTTGTCGGTTATAAACCAGTACGCTCACTTCATGTGCACTATGATCGCACCGTGCACGCCTCTGAAGATGCCAGCCATGCCTGCTAGCAAAACGTCAGGATCAAATTCTTAACGACGACGACCTAATAAACCGAAAAATTACCTATTCTACAATCTGCCAACTTGATTGAAAATGATCCAGATGAAAAAGAGGACTCTATTTTAGGAGAAAATCCAAAAATAGCTGTCATTGGGTTAGTGTCCCAATGTCAAGCGATTTCAAAGGGCATTTGTATGCGACAAACAGCCTACATGATGGCTTATCTCGCGAAGAAATCCGACGACTTATAAGGTAAGTGGATTGTGACGGAACAAAGAAGGGACGGCTCGACTACTACAAGAAATTTGATGCTCTAATATGGAATACAGAATGAAGGTCCTTACCCTCGAAACGACGGGAATACTTTCAAAGTTACAACCCGAAGAAGATTGGGAATGGGAAGAATTTTTCCTATTCGGGTGCTAAGACCAGACCAGAGGCATTGAAACGTTGCCTTGAACATACCTGAACTTGAGCTATGAGTATTTATTTATCAGATAGCAAATCAATAAATAATAAAAATTGCCATTACATCGCTTACGAAAATTACACAGAAATAATTAATTGCTATTGATTATTCCCTAGGACCACTATCAATATTACTGTTATTCCACTAATCGTTTCGACTGGCAAAGTAAAAAAAACTAGAATAGCGTTTATAACGGCTTTTAATCGCATTTCGAAATACGTTCCTAATTCTTTTAGTAAATGCCTGCTTACCTCAATATTTACTTTCCCTACACAAATACACGGCTCTGTTAGTGTAACCATTGGACTCGGATAAATGCATTTTATCGAGTTTAACATACTTTTCTGTACAAAGATAAAAAAAATTCGAAATGTTGCTGTATTTTAGATAAGAACCCATCAAATTATATTAGACAGATCAATGTGGAACAGTACTTTAGGTGGGATTAACATACACGAATAAAACACATTATAGTCCGCGCGCCTAAGACAAGCAGGTATCATGCAATTTGGTACAAATTGTATACAACAAGCGGATTTTGCAATCAGTTCAGTTGTACGTGTTATCGATGGTTTTTAACAGGAACATTATTAAATCAACAGAAAATTGCCATTTATTACATTAGATTCTTTCAGCTTCCCACTAATGCAGGAATTTGATTTTCAAAAATACCTAGTGAAAGTGTTTGGAATTGTCGAATGAAAATCCCCTAAGAAACTGGCTAATATGCAAATACAGGGTGTCCCGATAAATCTTGGCATGCTTTCGGATAATCAGTTGATAAACTCACACAAAACACTACACAAATTAATTTGTAAAATTTCCTTGATTTTTAATAGTTCGATTGGACAATTCAATTTTCTCGAAAACCATTTAGTGGATTCAAATTCTGATGTCATATTTAGCTCTTTCAAACGATTTTAGTTGAAAACGAGTACCATGTCAATGGGCGGATTTTTCAAAAAATTTCGCCAATTTTTTCGAAAAACCACCCACGACATGGGGCTCATTTCATGCTTTTATGTTGTCCGATAAATCTAAATGTGAAACCAGAATTGACCTGAAGTTACTTTCCGGCATTCAGAATGAAGCATTTTTTGTGATTTTTTTTGTGGAAATTTGATTTTGGTGCATTATTTAGCTTTTTGGGACAATTTTTGCTGAAAACGAATGCCCATGGAAAAATGTATTTGCAACTTGTAACTAAAAATGACTTGTTGAAATGCAGCAGTGCAATCAACACTGAATTTGGTAAAAATAGGCTGCACCTACTCCAGATAAGCCAAACGAGTCAAATGTTTACCTAAACATAAAAAAAAACGTTAAATGTAAATAACCGGTCTCGAGGGTTTTATTAATAAACCAAGAAAACCGTAAAATTTTCAAAAAATAATCAAACCAAACGATTTTTTCTTGCAAAAACAAATCACATTCAAATTTATCTGAATCACTGACATTGAACTACCTACCTTGAACGTAATCGCTTGCAAATAGCGCTAAGCAGCCAGATTAATATTGTTTACTGCTAATAAACAGTGCGATTAAAATTTGAAAATTTCAAATGTTTTCTCACTGACCTTTTCGTAAACGCCGGCTCCGTTCATGCAATACATTCACCAAACGGCAATCCTGCCTCAGGGTCGCGGCTCAGAAAGGCACAGAAAACTCACTCTCGACAGTCGGGAAAAACTCAGAATCGTCCAGAGACCCGGCAGACCTGCGCCATTCCGCAACAAACACTTCAACAACGCGAACCGAAACACACTGAAATGTTTATTTTGTGGATGCCATGCGTCCGCTGATTCTGATCCTGCGTTGTCGGGTTTAGCAGGAATCGGTTTCGTTCATCAAATTGATACGGAAAAACGCAAATTTATCTAGCGATTTTCAACTTCAAAAAATCTGCTTTTATTGGAATCCGCCCCAAACGGGTTGAAGAATTGCGCAGTTTTTTCCTGCTTTGCTAAAATTAGCTTAAAAAATTTTGTTGTAGAAAAAAGTCGCGCTTGTATGCTTTGAGGAGTTTTCAGACATGCATGTTACGTGAAATTTAAATTGTGCAGAGTGCAGAGTAGAAGTTTGCAAAAACGTGACGCGTTTTTCAACTGAAATCAATGAAACTTTTTCGGCGAGTTTCTTCGAGGAAAAAATAGTGTACAAACTGCATCAGTTTTGAAAGAATCGGAGAAGAAACACCTTTTCCAGATAAGGAAATTTCCTCCCCAAGAAAGCTGCAGGAGTGAGTTTGGCAATGGCGCATGACAGGAAGAAAACGCATGCGTTTTTGTGAATTCAATAGAAAGATGCATAGGGAAATGGAATTTTATTTGATTTCCCGCTGCATTTCTGGGGTTATTTTTAGATAGGTATATCTTGGGAGGAAGAGTCTGCAAAATGGAGCATGCCTGGAGAGGGCAATTTTACGGGTTCAAGCCCGAATTAGGTTGCGATAAAGGGGATTTTTACCGAAAAATAAATGGAAATTTGTACTTGTGGTCGTAACAATAATTAGACGGGTGACATTGACGAATAAAATAGGTAAAATTTTACGAATTAAAAAATCATGAGTAGACGATTGCGCATTGAGGAGGAAAAAGTCAAGCAGCTCAAAGATGAACTGCAGGATGAAGAAGATAAAATGAAGCTGATGCAGGAGAAAATCTTCGGCCCTCTGGTGTGGCGCCGCTTTCAAAATGGCATCAAAGTGGAGGATCTGCAGGAAAATCGGTTCAATGATGCAGTGGATTTAATAATGGTAGGAAAGTTTCTATGCAGATTATGCAGTTTTCATGCGCGAAAAACGACTTTAGCAATATTACACTGCTGAGGACGTGCTGTTTCGCAACACCAAAATATCCGAAGACAAAATCTCCCAGAACTCTTTTGCCGATAGACTGATTTTCAAGCTGAAAGATCGGGCTTCGATTATTGCAATTGATGAAGGTAAAATGCTGTCAGAAATTGAACCAGTTTTCAGTGAAACTTTAAAACGATTGCGCCGCTTGGATCAAAGTGTTTCTTTCAGAAAATGAAAATTGCGTGGCAGGTGTTTTGGTGCTGAATCCCGTGCAAAAATGCGACTTTGGCAGAGTCTACAGCAGGACAATGTTGGTGGAAGGAAAGTCCTATAAGAGCATCACGGACTTTATGAACTACATCAATCGTAAAGTTGATGTGTTTGAGGTGCTTCAGTGCGAAATTTATCTTCGCTATTATCTGCTGTGCATCGCACCAGAGTATAGGGGTCGAGGTAAGTGGAGGAAAAACCCTGAGTGATTGACAATTGCGTTGAATCATCCATTATTATGTGGAAAAGTGTATGGGAATTTTTTGCTTTTGAATTTCGACGAACTTTTAACGCGCCCACCGTATATATGTATAACCTATATTAAGCGAACTTTTACGAGTCGCAGGAGGTCGAAACTTTGCTATCGCTACGAAGAAGATTTTGAGGAAAATATCAATTGAGTAAACTAATATTGAGGAAAAGCTAAGAATTTGTGCAAAACAATGAATTTCTTAGGCGGTTTGAGGGTTTCAAAGTTGCTCACTGACGGAAAGCGCATAGACGTCAACGGGGCCAAATAATTCCCAACCAAGCTTTAATACTCACAGCTGAACTTACGGGAAACTCTCGACAATCCAATGAACGATCATATGGAGGCACAAAGCACTGAAACTTTCAAGTTTTCCAAACTTATCCATACTAAACGCGGAACGACATGCCGGAACAGCCGGATTCAAATTCGAAGCCCCCGCACTAGCGCCATCTAGAGACTCGCAGTAGCAACATCCAGTTGCGCGGCGAAAATATATTTGAAATTTTGCCGCGCTTATTAAATACCGAGTCCGTCTGGAGTTCTCGGAACTCAAAGTCGAAACTAACGTGTTTAAGGCTTTTTCTAGTTTGTTGCATTTCTCGCTATCCTACGATGGAAATGAGGATGAACTGATTTCTCTAATTTGAAGAATTTTTCGCAATTTGGTACAGATGCGGGGCAGGAGAGAATGAATGTTTGGATTAAATGGCGAAGTGCTCAGGAAAATGCTGTTGCCACTCACACAGACTATTGTAGCTCAAGTATACTTATATAGATAAAGACTCCATAGAGAATGCTATGTTGTCTTTTCTAAGTTTGGGTCAGTTTGGGCTACTTTTAGTTAGTTACTTTTTACGCTTGCTAGTATCCAGAGACCTGGAAAAACTCGTCTGAGGCAGGGGCGGATCCAGCTT